TATAAATGGGGAACTATTTGGACAAAGTCTCACCTTAATACATGTACACAGCCTTTACATCTCTCTCCATTTCTCAAGAATGTTGTTCCTGCTAGGACCTTCGGAAGTTCGGTTGTTTATTACATTGTATCCAATTCAAGGACTATTAACCCAACGCATCCCCCAGAGAGACGGGTCCCACCTGCGCCAGTGAGCCTCAGACTTCTGGGAAAACCTAACAACCCATTGTCTAACTCCCCCACCAATCTATTCTAATGCATTTCTTGCTAGTTACATTTTCCCAAATTAAAATTACATGCTTGATAACTCTGTGACAGTCCGTGGGGTCGGTGGGAATCCCGGGAATCTACCGGACGCCGAGGAGGAGGACCCCAGCTCCGAGAGATGAGTGGCTATGCACTTGCTGCTTCAGAGATTTCACCTGAATGCTTGGTACTCGGCCTGGGTACCAAGCCGGTTATGTCACAACAAAACTGGGTGCTCCTGGAATCTCAGCCTCTGACCGTCTATGGAGATCCTCTGAGACACATGCGCACCACCTTAACCTTACGCAATGTTATATGTTAATTACATCTAAATAAAAAGTTGTATCTCAGGCTCTGAAATGCCGGGGCCAGAGGTGCTGGGGCCTGAGCAGACGCCGGCAGCCTGGGGAGAGCACACAGCAGCCTCGGATCTGCCCCGACGGCCAAAGCGCAGGGCACAGACCCGCCTGGCGCCTCCCTGAGCAAACGCAGAGGCCGTTTTTCTAAATGATGGGTGATTTCTCACCAAAAGGAGCCTATTAAGAAGAAGAAGAAAAGGAACCTAGAAAAAGGAAACAACACCGAGAGAATCAGATGACACGGTCATGAGTGCTTCCCACAGGGTGACGCAAACACCAGAGACTCCCGAACGCGACTCGGCTGTCATTCTTTATGGTGCAGCCACCGGGCCTACCTCCCTGAGCTACAGCGGGGGGCGCCCTGGAATCTTCTGACCATAAAAATGTCGAAATAACCCAACCCCAGGGACTCAGCTAGGAATCCACACTCAGCACGTGGCCCCACCCTGCGGAGGGAGAGACCCAGGTGCGGGCAGGGACCGGAACAAGGGCAAAGCCGTCGTTAAGAAAGAATGTTTTCAGAATCACATTTGTTTTCACCCTGAGGTTAATGTGTGACGATGGAAAGAAAAGAAACAGCGAGTCCTCTGCAAAAACATTCTCTCATACTAACACATCCATGTTCATTAACTTCAGATTTTTAATGTGGCACAAAATGAGATCCGTCATTTTGAACTATTTCCAATGTTGTTATTCGAAATAAGACTCGAATGCCTTCACGCACGTGTCTCACGCACGACAGCAGAAAGCGAGTCCTGGTCATTGTACATCAATCAGGGTTTTAAGTCCGACGAAATTGACAACCATCTTTAAAATATCTCCCCCGTGAAGGGTGACGTTCTTCTCTAGAAATGCCCTATCACAGGAGGGAGCCAGCTCCTCAAAGACCCTTCGCCCAGGTCCCCCCGACTCACGAGGCCCTTCACGCTGACCTGAGTGGGCATGGAGCCGGGTCTGCAGCCCGGGGCTCAGAACCTGCTGAGTCTCCACACACAAGCCCCAGGGCTACTCACCCCTGTGGCCTGAACCCCGTGTCTCCGCCTCAGCCTCAGCTATCTGGGCCTCAAGACTGAGCATCTTTGTTAACATGGTCATTTGCAGCAACTCCAACCAAGGACCCAAAATACGGAAGAGTAACAGTTCTCCAATAAGTGAAAAGTCACAGGAAATTGGTAAAACACGGACACGTGTTACATTGTGCAGTGAATGCCATTCGAATGCAGGAAATCAAGTTTTGATGAAATAATCACATATCTGACGTGCATGAAAGGAGGAAGCCGCAAAGAAGTCTTTCACAAAGAGCACTTCTGTAATTTGAACAATTACCTTCAATTTACCCACTTTGTAAGTTCTGATTTTTAGTATCTTCATTTCTTACACAAATGTCACTGAAATAGAGGAGGGGGGGCAATACAATAGCATTTGGAGAACTATTTTAACACAGTCAAGTTCTCCAGGAGACAAAACATTTGTCCTTACCTTACTTTTGTAAGTCCCTAATAGCACCTTTTTTTTTTTTTTTTTTGGTGAGAGAGAAAGGAAGGGAGAGGGAAAGAGAAAGATTGATGTGAGAGCGGAATATTGATGGGCTTCCTCCTGCACGCCCCCTACTGGGGATCAAGCAACAACCCAGAAATGTGCCCTGACCGGGAATTGAACCAGCAACCTTTTGGTGTATGGGACGACACCCAAACACCTGAGCCACATCAACCAGGGCCTTAACGGTAACTTTTGTTTAAAGATTTTTTTTTCCTTTATTGATTTTTAGAAAGAGAAACATCAATGAGGGAGAACATCGATTGGCTGCTTCCTGCACGCCCCCCAGTGGGGATCAGGCCCACAACCTCGGCATGTGCCCTGACCGGGAATCGAACCGGTGACCTCTTGGTGCCTGGGTCAACGCTCAACCACTGATCCACACCAGCCGGACTTAACAGTAACTTTTAATGCAGAGAGGGACTTGGATTCTGATGTCTTAAAAAACCACCTCTCTGCCCTCACTCCACCTCCAGACCTCCTGGGCTCCTTGTTCAACTTCAAACACACGGCAGCCCGGGTCCAAGAACCCTCGCACATCCCTCTGCCTACACAATAGCACCGCTTGGACGCTCACTCTCTCCATCGCCCAGTGTTCTGTGTGTTTGCTTTGCTATTCATTTTGCTTGTGGTTGGCTTCACCCAACAAGAATGTCAGCTCCGTGATGACAGGGATACTTGCCTGGTACACGGGAGTCACTCAATAAACTGGTTTAAGTGAATGGATTAATGGCGAGATAGTAGTATTTATGGAACTGACTCCAGCGAGTTGCTCAAGGCACAAGTATCCGTGACATGGGTCTCAGCCTGTTTCCTTCGGCCGTTTCGTTAGCCTCCCATCAGCCCAAGCCCACAGTCATGCACGGGCTGGTTCACTTAGGGTGAAGTAGTGAGCCTGCTTCTCAGAGTGCTACAATACAAACGCCCCACTTGGGGTTCCTGAATTGTCGTGGGGAACTCAAGTTCTCCGTGAAGAAAGACTTTCTCATCCACTCTGCGTCAAGAGAGAGGTGGGGAGGAGGAGGATGATTAATGGAAAGAATGAAAAAAGAGACAAGACTGGGAGACTGTGGACAAAGGGTATTAGGGAGAAGCCTGTGACGTACCTTCTGAAAGGACTTCAATGTGTAAGAGAAATGTTCCCTTAATCCTCACCAACAAATCCCCCTTGCAAAGGAGATTCTTAAGATTCTGCTCTAGAAGTCTTTTCTCCACAATCTCAGGATTCGCATGGAAAGTATTCGCTGAATAAATTGAGAAATGCAGATGAAATGACTATGGAACTAAAATACCCAAGAGAATCAATTAAAAATATTTTAATCTGTCTTATGTAGTGTAAGATGGTCAATTAGAGATTTGAAAGTAAAAAGAACAGCTTTTGTACATATCAGCAACGAGGAATTAGAAAATAGGATGAGTGTGGGAGAATCCTACTCAAATCACCAGAACAACAAAAAATAAATATGAATATGCTAACCAGAGATGCATGGGCACTGCATCAAAGACCATCTAGGCTTTTACAGAGAAGATCTGAGCCAATGAAAGGGTAGAGCGTGGCCCCAGGACTGGGAAACGAATATTTTAAAGATATCAATTCTTCCGTAATGAATCTATAGATTAAAAACAATCCTAGTGGCAATAGTTTTGTCTTTACCAAATTATTCTAAACTTTGCTACACAAATAGGAAAGAATCCCTAAATAAAAGCAAGTCATGGGGGGAGGACAATAACCCTCAAAGCTAGATATTAAAGCAAATTATAAACCTGCGAAAGTAAAACTGGGGTATTGATGCAATGAAAGCAGAGAAGACACTCAGAAAAAGACTTTGATAGAAATGGAATAGGAGATAAAGGAGACTAGGAAAACATTATCTCAGCATACGTGAAAATTAATGTCAGATGAATAAAGACCTACATGCTAAAAAATAAAAAAGTATAAAAAGGAAAAAAAAAAGTGCTGAATATTTTCTTTTTGTTAAACGTACAAAGATGGTTTTACAACCATAAGGATTAAAACCTCTATACAAGAAAATGTTGTAACCAGAATACAAATCACCCAAAGGGCGGGGGCTTTGTCCTGGTCACAGCTGTATCTCCAGACGTTAAGACAATGGCTACTTCTAGCCACCTTGCAAGAGAAGAAATACAAACACCAAATAAACACACAGAAATGTCAACCTCACTAGTTGCTAAGAAATAAAAATGAAAACAAAATTACCACTGTGTACTGTTTCAATTTTTTCTTTCGAGAGAAAAACATTGATTTGTTGTTCCACTTATTGATGCATTCATCAGTTGATTCTTGTGTGTGCCCTGACCGGGGATGGAACCCGAAATCTTGGCATTCCGGGACGAAGTTCTTACCTACTGAGCTACCTGGCCAGGGCACTGCTACCATTAAGAGGGGCAAACGGATAGCACATATGATACAGATATGGATGTAAATACAGATACAGACACACATACACATGCATACAAATATTAGATAGATGTTGAATTGCTACTTTTTAAAAAGCTCGCCAACCCCCTCCCCCAACACAGGCACAGAGGAAAGAACTATACCAGAGAGGTATTAGTGGTTATGCTGTACCACACAGTTACATAGACTAATTAATTACAATGATAAAATACTATTTTCTAGACATAATTACAATAAAATATTGTTTTCTAGGTGTTTAAAAATCTACATGCACGTGAGCCTTCTCCCTTTCACGTAACCAGAGGACTTCAGAGAACAGTAAAGGAGGGGCATCTGGAGAGAAAGGCAGGAGCTCCCCACAGCGAGTGATCACAACCCAGCACCCCGGAGGCGCCGGGCACGGGCGATGCTGTCCGTGTGGTCAGCATCCTCATTCCTCACCTGCTTTGGAAGTAACAAGCTGTAGTACAAGAGGCCGTCTCGTCACGATGCCTGACCCTCGAGGGAGAAAGTCCCTACAAAAGAGAAGAGATAATAAAGGCATTAAGGAATTTTGATGACTAAAAATTTATCAGTCAATTTCCAGAATCATTCTCCTAATTCCCCACTTTTCAATGTATCACATGTCCAAAGAATGTGAGAACCATCTTATAAAAGATCATTTGCACCCAGCCGGTGTGGTTCAGTTGGTTTGAGGGGCGTCCCATGCGCCCAGAGGATGCTGGTTCGATTCCTGGTCAAAGCACATGCTCAGACTGCAGGCTTGATCCCCAGTAGGGGGTGTACAGGAGGCAGCCAATTGATGTTCTTCTCTCATTGATGTTTCTATCTCTTGCTCTCTCTCCCTTCCTCTCTATCTAAAATCAATTAAAAAAAACATATTTAAAATTATTTTTTAAAAAGAGAAGCATTTGCAAAATTAAAAATAAATAAATAAAGGGGTGGGCCCCTTATATTGCATATTGATCCCTGTGTTTTATCCCAATGACCTTGCTGGAGTACATCACTCATTTATATAGCTGGAGGTCATCAAAGTTTGCATTAAATTATTGTATACTGTTAATTAATTTGTATTGTCAGAGGGTTAGCATTAACAAAAACATTTGATGCAGAAATTAATCCTTAAACTTTTTCTTTAATCCTCATCCGAGGATATGTTTATTGATTTTAGAGAGAGAGGAAGGGAGGGAGAGAGAGAAACACGGACAAGTTGCCTTCTATATGCAGCCTAACCAGGGATCAAACCAGCAACCTCGGTATGTGCCCTCACCAGGAATCAAACACAACACCTTTTGGTGTATTGGATGACGCTCCAACTAACTGAGCCATCCGGCCAGGGCGATCCTTACATTTTTTATAATTAAAAAATTCAGTACTCCAACCGAAATCAAGATCAATATTAGTACCATCAAATACTGACCACTACTAAAGGTACATTAGATTATATCATTGTATCTTCTAAATATCCTGAATTTTTTCTCCATATAAAATGTGAGATCATGTGGAGACAAATATTGTGTATATAGAAATTAATAAATATATATATATGTTGCAATGTGAGTTTTGTTTGCTCTCAGTCCTGATAAACGGGAGTGTTTAATAATGAAGATCGTGTGTAAATGGCCCGTTAATGTACACTAGACCAATAAAACTGCAGCAAAGAAGGTCTTATATAATCACATCTGCAGAACCACATAAATCATGCTGATTCTTCAATGTCAAAGAAGAATTCGGAAACGCCTAGAACACAATTTTTAAACACATTTAGAATGCCTCCCGACTTTGAGAAAAACCATCATTTTAAAAACCACAGAACTCTATTCAAAATACATCTCTGGCTCAATGCGAGCGTTTCTCGGGAAGGGTCCCCCGGACCCCCCGAAAGTGTTATAACCGCACGTGCCCCCACCCAGCCTGCAGCCAGAGCTTCCGGAACGTTCAGGGAGGCTGTGCGGCCCCTGCACCCTTCCACCAGCTCCGGGGGACTCGCACGCTGGCCTGGGTTGAGGAGCCCCGGCCTCGAGTGGGCATGTTTCCAGGGGTTCGGGGGGCGATGATGACAGGGGCGCACTGGGCGTTCGGCAGGAACCTGGCAGAACCGGGAGCGGCAGCACAGACGGGCGCCGGTGAACCGCCGTCGGCGAGGCAGGTCGCGGCCGGTGAGAGGGCTGCAGGGCCCTTCGCTGCGCTGACTTCAGCACGGAGGGTCGCAGAGATAAAACTCCACGACTTCCCTGCCACAGTCCTCCCGCTGACACAGGGAATGACACAGAACCGCCTCCCTACCGAGTTAGTGACTCACTCCACGCCAAGGCTCAGTTCACTGAGAACCTCCCTGTTCGTGACCACAATAGAGAACCGAGAAGCTACAGACTTGTTCTTGCTCTTTAAGAAATGCCGCCTGAAATAAAGACTATTTATTCACCGAAAAGAAAGCACTACGGCGCTGAGAAGTGCGAGGCAGAGGCCGCGTGCCCTGCAGCAGGCTGGCGCCGGGCTGGAATCTGGGGGACAGGAGGGCCTCTCATGGTCCAGCCTTAACCAACAGGGCAGGAGAACGGTGCTGCCGGCGGGAGGGGGGCTGGTGCTCTCCTTCCCAACATGTCTGAATGCACGTAACTGAAGACCCGATCATTTCTCCGAGAACCACGTCGGAGTGTTTGCCAGTGTGGGTGGTTTCAGTAACCATTGAAATGTAATTACATTAGACAGAGCATCTCTTCTGTGCCTGCAACCAAAAAGGAAGACATTAATTTGATAATCAAATAGAGGAAGGAAGGAAGGAAGGAAGGGAGGGAGGGAGGAGAGAGAGAGAGAGAGAGAGAGAGAGAGAGAGAGAGAGAACACTCCAGAAAAATGAGCTGAGGGCATCTGTTTGAGCTATTAAGACCTTGGGTGAGGTTTCAGGTTGTAGAGATGTCAACGAGAAATGCACGTCTTAATGCTGTTTAATGAATCAATAAAATGTTTTCGTTTTTTAAAAAGGTAGGGTAGAGAAGAAGGAAGGAAGAAGAGGGGGGCGGAGGTTACTTAATACCTTTGTGCTAGGATCTGTTTCAACTCATGCTTATGACCGTATATTTAAAATCCCTTTGAATATCATGAAAGCAAACCAGAATGTATGAAACATTTATTTGTTTGTTTGTTTTGGTTAATTCTCACCAGAGGATATTTTTTCTATTAATTTTTAGAGAGAGTGAAGGGAGGGGAGAGGGAAAAGCGAGAAACATCATTGATGTGAGAGACATACATCCATTGGTTGCCTCTGCACTCACCTGGACCAGGGCCAGGGATCAAACCTGGAACCCAGGTGCATGCCCGTGACCAGGAATCAAAACCAAGATCCAGTACACAGGCCGAAGCTCTAATCACTGGGCAAACTGGCCAGGGCTGCATCAAAAATTTTAAATAGCAAATAACTATCATGTGTTTGGCTGAAAAGAAAGTCCACAGATGCATCTAATTGTGTACTTTTTTTTTTTTAACCTCACCCGAGGACATTTTTGCATTTATTTTCAGATAGAGTGAGAGGGAGAGAGGGAGACAGGGAGAGAGAGAGAAACATCGATATGAGAGGGACACCCCACACGACCCCCACGGGGGCCGGGGACAAACTGCAACCGAGGTACATGCCCTTAGCGGGAACCGAACCCGGGTCTCTCTGGTCTGCTGGCCGATGCTCTAACCGCTGAGCCAAACCGGCCAGGGCTAATTGTTTACTTTTTTATTCAGCAAACAGAACATTGCAGTCGGAGAAATAAACAGACTCAGCTATCCAGGCCCCCTCTTACTAATTCACACTCATTGGCCCCCTTCATGGCTCCATTAGTCCTGCCAAAGTCCAAAGATTTGGTAACCAAACCTTGCTGACCGGAGGTCTCCCCTGACTTCGCAGGACAGTAGGGGGGGTTTCTCGCCCCTGCAGAGAGCGGCTGACCTGGCATCCAGGAAGCACTGGTCGTGCTGAGAGCTCAGCAGCAGCAGCTTGGAAACCATATGCCCCGCACACTCCTGCAGGGAAGCCAAGGGGCGAGCCGGCCAGTGACACACAGGGAACCTGGCCTTGAGTCGCAGCCCTACCAGTGAGTGGGCAAGACTCTCTCCGAACCGCAGTTTCTTTTACTACTAAACTGAGATGATCCTGTGGCTCAAAGGAAATGCACCATATGGCAACTTTTCAAACACCCACGTACCAGAGGAAAAAACAGTCCTGTTACTATGTCCTGTACTGCTACAATATAGCCACAGTGTATTTCCCCTGATAGTGTAGCCTTCTCTTATCTACAAGACAAACGAACAAAACCATACAGCATTTTAACATTTCATGAACGGAGTTTGGAGGTGAGGGGCCTCGGCCCCCACCGGAACCATCCCCTTGCTGTTGGCTGGTTGCACTGGTTGGGAAAGCTCAGTGCTCATTCCTGCCCCATCGACAGGGAGTCGAGGCCTGACACAGACAACCATGAATAATTCAGTTGGCACTGAGTGCCATCGTCCATTTGAAATGCATTATGTTCTGTGCAAAGGTGGCTGGTTTTCTCCCATAAGTACACCTTCTGGGAAAATTACTTTGCTGAATTATTGCAGGGGAAAAAAAATCATGACTGTGCCTTTAGTACTACTTTGGATTTAAACTGTACATATATTTGTTTATGGTCTAATACATATGTACAAAAAGAAAATTTGCATGCCGTTTTCCTCCAGCAAGGACCTTTGCGGGAAGAAGAGAACAGTAATCAGAAGACGGACCGTGAGTACGGGGACTCCGTGCTGTCGCCCGAATGCCTTATTTATGAGCGGAGTGCTTTTCATTCTAGGCCGCAGAGCAGCTACAATGCAAGTGCTTTTCTTCTCTCTCAATCCACCTCAAAAATAGCATCATTCTGCACAGTCTTTACAGCTGAGCTTCAGGCAATAAGTCACATTTCTTCATAGTTTCCTGACTCGGGCATGCAAAGCAGAGAACAATTCCCGTGCTTTGGTCTAAGAACCATCATGATGATATTTCTTATTTCTTATTGGTTCTTCCAGAGACTTGGTTACCAAGAAATAGTATGGCTCCGCCTGGAACTGATTGGCCTGTGGAAGCCTAAAACAGGAGAGGCCCTACTGCATCGACAAAGCTAAAAAGGAGTGTCCCTCCCTTAGTGCAACTAAATAACCACAGGGATGTTTTTCTTCATATAGACATAAATATCACTAACCAGATGATCTCAACAAATAAATGTTTAACATCTTCCCTTGACTAAACACGAGAGCCATAAACCATATACTCTGGAAGTTACTTCATGTAGCGGATTCTTTCAAAAATAAAGAAGCTTCGCCCTGGCCGGTTTGGCTCAGCAGTTGGAGCGTCGGCCTGCGGTACAGAGAGACCCAGGTTCGGTTCCCACTAAGGGCACGTACCTCGGTTGTGGTTTGTCCCCGGCCCTGGTTGGTCGTGCGGGTGGCAGCCACTCGATGTGTCCCTTCACATCGATGTTTCTCTCTCTCTCTCTCCCTCTCTCTCCCTCCC